ACAATCCATATCACTTCCTTTTCCCATCTGAAAACCAATATCCAAGTTTGAAATAACAACTTATAAACATACTATTTTTCCTCCAAGGAAATGCCCTTCTGTTCTGCTGAAAATCAACTGATTCAATATGCGTACTTCTATTTCTGGACTTTTTATCCTGTTCTGTTGATTTACTTGTCTGTTTGATGTCATTACCACAATGTTTTGACTATTATTTTTATAATTCTTGATGACAGTTTAAATTTCCTAACTTTGTTTTTATTTTTTTTTCAAGAGTGTTCTATTTTAGGGCCCTTGTATCTTTATATGGATTTTAAAGTTAGTTTGTTAGCATACATTTAAAAGTTACTGGAATTTTGATCTGTATTACTCAATGAGTTTTTGGGGAATTGGTATTATACAAGCATTGAGTTTTCTCATCCATGAATGTGACTTATCTTTATCTACATAGTTTCAGTTTTTTTTTTTTGTTGTTGTTAAAAGTCATCCATAGCTTAATCATTAACTTCTCTTTCCTTCTGGCCTCTGTGTAATTAAAACTAGGAATACTTCCCCTAGGAGGATAGGACATTCACTTAGGTAATCTTGGTATTTAACAAAAACACTCTAGCATTTAGCCATATTCAACAAAATTATTGGACAAGAGTATTTTAAAGGCACTTTCAAATTATTCCAACTTTCCCATCCAGAATTAGGAAATGATCTGTAAGAATGAGTTTACAAAGCAACCCCTAAAAATGCTTTCCATGCCACATGAACTGTCTTCAGAAATCCAGCACCACAGGAAAAGAAAATTCTGTTGACTGCTCTGTTTTATTTTTAAAGCAAGACTGAGTTTTCTTTGCTTAAAGGGAAGAGTGAAAGAGAGAGGGTGGGGGAGGGAGAGAGAGATCTCTATCTGCTGATTCGCTTCCCACGTGACCCCAGTGGCTGGGGCACAGGCAGGACAAAACCAAGTGTCTATAACTCCATCAGGATCTCCCATCTGAGTGGCAGGAACCCAGAATACCATCATTATCTTCTTGGGCACATTAGCAAGGAGCTGTATCAGAAGCAGAGTGCCTGGGATTTCAACTGGCACTTTAAATGGGATATAGACAAGACAAAGTAAGGCTTAAAGAGCTATTTCACAATGCCAGTTGGGACTGGTATTTTCTTGACTTGGATATTGCTTGAAGGGTAGAAATACATCCTGAAACACATAGGAGTCTCATTGCGACTGAATAAATGCAAGCTTATTAAGAAAGAAAAGAAGTAAGGAATAGACATGGGTCTCTAGTGTCTTCTGTTAGAGTGTGTCCAGCCTCAGAGAATTATCCCCTAATAAGTTCAAACTACTACAGATGTTAGCAATTAAATGTTTCACTCCTTCTATGAGGCTTAGTGAAAGAGAAAGTGCAAAAATACTCTATTTTCATATTATCCTCTTTGGGGGAACACAACACTAAATCCCCTGCATTCTGTGTTGTACTGTGAGTTTACCTTCAGTGAAATGGGGAATAAATAATATTTATCACATGTAGATGCATGATGGCTTGATGTGCCACTTCCAAAATTCATGTTTAAATTTAATTCCTATGAAGCTATATTAAGAGTTAGGCCTTTAGGGAAATGATTAAGCCATAAGAACTCTACTCTCCTACTGGATTGACACCCTGTGAAAAGACTGGAAGGAAGAAGCTTGCACCCTTTATGCCCTTTTGCCTTTAATAATAGGAGAACCTGGCAGGAAGCAGCCACCAAACACCAAAGGCTAGCACCTCGCTCTTGGATTTCCCAGATTTCAGAATGGTAAGGGTTACTCTCTGCTTGTAAATTACCCAGTCAGTGGTATCTTGTTGCCGTGGCACATTGCTAAGACAGGATGCCATGAGTATTATGAGATAAATGAGATAACCCATGTAAGGAATATGACACATATTAAGCTGCCCTCCTCTTTCCTTTCTTCCTTCCTTTCTTCCTTCCTCCCTCCCTCCCTTGCTTCCTTCCCTCCTTCTCTCCCACCCTCCCTCCCTCCTTCTCTTCTTTCCTTCCTCCCTTCCTTTTTTCCTCTTTCTTTTCCTTTCTACTAACCCCATTTAATTTTTTTTATTAAAAGCATTTAGCATTTAGAATAGCTTAAAAATTCTTTTAGACTCCTGAAGGCAAGACTGCAGGATGAAAGAGAACTGAGGGGCATTATTTTATTGGCTCTTATTCTTAAGGCAAAATGTTGAGAAACGAAATGATGCATTTTCAATGGCAAAACTCCAGCATCTTATCACAGTGCTTGTAACATACAAGGCACTCACTTAATATTTGCAGCATCCATTAATAAACAAATGGGCCATGGTGTAAAACTGCAGGCTCCAGGCTTCTAATGTCAGTGGAAAGCTCTTCAAATAGTGAATGACTTTCCACTGCTGAAGGCATGTCGCTGTCCGTGGTTCTAAAACCTCTGAAGAAAGAATGTGTTCGGTCATATTAGGCAGAGGACTTCTTCCTTCTGCTCTCGACCCAGCCTCTTGCCCCCCTCCGCCCCCGCTCCACACAAAAATTCCTTTCATTTAATCTATTTTCAAGACACAGAAACAAACGAACTCCTTTCCCACACGCTTAAAGGGGGGGAGGGGGGCAGGCTAATACCCAGTATTGGATTATTCAAATGTTCTAGAAGTCTCAATGTCTTTCCTGCTGGATTTATTTTATCTGGCAATAGACTGTTCATGTGTTGACCACTAGAGTCTTTGGTCATCATCTCAGAGAACAGAATCCTGGGCCACAACTCCTTCTTAAAGAGTAAACTGGTCTGGCCATGGTTCCTTAGCAGAATCCTCGGAGGCCATGAGACCAAACTCTCCAAGCTTTCACCAGGAGTCCAGCCCACGCAGCTCCCAGAGGCGTTGTTACCCCTCCCTTCCCTTTCTCCTCTCCCTGGAACTTAGCACAAAGACCCCCTAGACTTCTGGGCACTAGGGAGTCCGTTCAAGAATCCTGGGAGCAATGTGGTGTAACTCCTGGGGCTTCCACTGGGCACCTTCAGAGACCGCGCAGAGGGCTAGGATCTCTACAGAATGACTCACTAGGCAGCAACTCGACTGCTTGCGGATGCACAGCCGCCCGCCCTTTCACTTTTTTACTCTCCGCGTATTCACCCGTTCTGCAGTTATTAGACAGAGGCTCACATTAAATTGTCTGCTAACATCAAACATTTAAAAAGTGCAAAGAAAAAATTGCCCGCGGGCTACGTGTTTGTGTGTCTGCGTTTGCGTGTCGTGTGTGTCCATCCGCGCTTGTGTAAAAATATCCCAACGTCACAATTCTCAATGTGGACAAGCGCACGGAGAACTCCGAGATCTTTCTGGGGATTCCTGCACCCTGCCCTACCAAGAGGTAGGTCTGGGGCTTTTGCAAATCATTGCTGCAGCGACAGAGGTACACCAGCCTACTGCGGTTTGTTTGCCCTTTTGCTCTCAAGAGAACAGTCCCAAGCCCAGGTTTTCCTTTCCAGTTCCCCCGCGGCCACATTGCAAACCAGTGCAAGTCCTTTCCTGCCTTCTGATAGCCTTGCCCGGAAACCTGCGCCCCCGCTGGCTCCAGCCTTGGGTTGGACGTAGGGCAAGTGCTCGCGCCGCTCCCCCCACCCCTTTATTCTAGGGCGTTGCAGGAGCCGCGCGCTGTGTGTGTGTGTGTGTGTGTGTGTGTGTGTGTGTGCTCGCGCGTGGAGGCGGGGGGCGCTGGGGGAAATCTCCCTTTGGTGGTAGCAGCTGGTGTCGCTGGCGGAGAGTATCCCGGAGCCCAGCAGATACCTCCAAAGCACTAGAGACTTCCTCAAGAAAAACAAGGGGAAAGACAGGAGGGGAAACCCGTTCCCCTTTAGCCCAGGTTTCCGTACTCTCGGATCCTCCAGAAGTTGGACAGAGGCGCAGTTGGCAGCCGCCTCCGCTGGCACAAGGACTTAGAAAGACAGTCTCCCCTATTTTCGGGAGGAGGGAGGTGAGGGACTTGAGAGCAAGAGTTGCATCGAGTCCAGGAAACTGCAGCGAGGAAAACTGCGGGGTAAGTGCGGGTGTGCACTGGAGCAGAAAAAGAGGAAGGAGGGAGGGGGAGGGGCAGGAGCGGGACGAAACGGAGAGGGCAGGGAATGAGTTATGCCAAAAAAAAAAAAAAAGCCCCGGTATTCCGCAGAGGAGGGAGAGCCCAGCACAGCACTCCCAGGGTACATCCCACCACGTATCCCGCGCCGAACTGGCAGGCGCGAAGCTGTCTGAACGAGAAGCCAAACTCGAACGTCCTGGAGGGCAACGCAGGCAGCTGGGGCGGGGCGGAGAGGAGGCGGCCTCCCGGGGCCCGAGGCGAGCAGGCGGCCACAGTGATCTGGAGTTCTGGCGTCCCGCATTTCTCCTCCTCCAGATGGCCGGGTTGAGACTCAGCTTCCCAGCCTGGCCTCCTGCCTCAGCCCCCGGGTGCTGGCCGGCCTGGCTGCTGTTGGAACTCCAGTCGGCGGCAGGGACTCTCACCTGGCCGAGCCGCCTTTTCTCCTCCTCCTCCTCCTTTTCCTCCTCCTCCTCCTCCTCCTCCCGCCCCCAACAGCCCTCATCCTCCGTTCAGAATCGGGAAGCAACGGGATCCGTAGGCGAGGAAATAACGACCCCTGCAGTTGCATTGCGGAAAATCTCGGTGGCGGCGCTAGTTGCGGGCGCTGCGAGCGAAGCAACTGGGAGTTCCGGGGAGCCCAGGAAAATAGCGGAGGAGCAAAAGCGCGCTGGCCAAGTGGGGAGCGTGAGGGCCCCACCGCGCCCGACCCCTGCGCCCCTTCGCCGCTGCGCCCCGCGGCCGTTGGGCTCCGCGCCCAGGACGCGCGGCTCGCCCCTGGATCGGAGACTGCCGACTCCGCGCTGACTCGGAAGCTGGGAGGGTCTGAGGAGGCTGCCGGCGGCCGGCGGTTTCGGGCAATAATCCCTGCCTCTCTTTCTCTGTCTCCCTGTCTTCTGTGTCTGCTCCTTCCCCCGCCCCCCGGAAGCAGGAGGAGAACGGCCCCGGAGCGGAGCAGTCACCCCCTGGCCATGCTTCGGTGAGGGGCGCGGACTTCGAGGGCAACTTGCCGCGGACTGCCGGGGCTCAGCCAGCGAGCTGCCAGCTGCACGGCTTGACCTGGAGGAGGGGCTATCGTCTATGTCTTCTTGGGGCGCCAGGCGAATCGGGGTCTCGCTTCTGCAGAAAGAGCCCAGCTCCGGCGGCTTCAGGTGGCTGGCACCGCGGCCGCGGCTACTAGAGCTGATTCCGCCGGGGGTCCGCGGAGCAGAGACTCGGGAACCGGGAGACCTCGTAGGCAGCGAGGCATCGGACATGTGTCAGCACATCTGGGGCGCACATCCGTCGAGCCCGAGGGGAGCTCTGCCTGAACAATTCAAACTGCGATATTGATCTTGGGGGTGACCGTCCCTGGCCGGCTGTCGGGTGGGAGTGCGAGTGTGCGCTCGCCCGCTCGGGAGTGTGCGCGCGTGTGTATGTGTGTGCCGCGTCGGGCTCTCCCCTTCCCCCCTGTTTTCCCGTCGAGTGATGCACTTGGAATGAGAATCAGAGGATGGAAATAGTGTGGGAGGTGCTTTTTCTTCTTCAAGCCAATTTCATCGTCTGCATATCAGGTATGGGACGCGTTGGAGCCGCGGGCGGGTTCGCGTTTTGCTGTGGTGTTTGGAGTCTGTGGGATTTCATTTTGTGTAGACGCGGAGCAGGAGGGGAGGGAGTGGTAGGGGCCATATCAGCTCTGCGGGTTTGCCTCCTTGGGAACCAGAAGCCTTGTGAGTCCGTGTGTGTGTGTGTGTGTGTGTGTGTGTGTGTGTGTGTGTGTGTGTGTGTGTGTGTAAGGGGGGGAGGAGAGAGAGAGAGAGAGAGAGAGAGGGAATGAATCAGTTTGGACGTGTGGAGTCCTAGAAAGGGGGAGGAGTGAGGATGATAAAGAGGAGGAAGATGGGTGTAGATTTTCAACTGCTTTCTTGGCTGAGAACTCTGGCGCCGAAATCCGAGCCCTGGCACCCCGACCTCAGTCCCCTGGCTTTGGAAGTTGCCAAACTCCGTTGATCCCTGGGTGGCAAAATGGATGCAGAACCCTGCCCTGGCGTCTGGGCACTTTGATTAGACTGCGGGAGCATACAAGACTGGAAATGTACAGGACATTCACGCCTTCCCACAAACTCCTTAGCAAGGATCGTGATGACTTGAGACCAGCTGGCACACACATACGCATACCCTCCCCCAATGAAAAGGGGCGGGGGGAGGCATGTGAGACAAGATAATATCACAAACCACTTTACACCACCGGTCTTGGCTACCAAGGATCTTGGTCTGCTGGTGCTGGACTGTGTTTTCAGTAGCAAATGAGAACCCAGGGCTGAGAGGTTGAAGGAGGTAGATATTTTGAATGCTCTCACCTGGGTGTCTCTGTGTTGGAGGGAATTCTGGTTTCTGAGCTGTGTCTTTGGGAGGGCAGGAAATTCAGCTTGGAAGGGAGCCATAAGGAAAACCCAGGGACCAGCAATGTTCCCCCACATCAGTGGCTCCTCCCATGGCAGCCCCCACCTCACCTCCCCACCCACCTAGCGTTGGAGCACCCAGCATAAAGCCTTTCTGCAGGTTCCAGTCCATCTGCATTCCCTCTGCAGAATTGGGGACTCAGCCAACTTCCTGTGAAGTCACCAGCAGAGGAGAGCAGGAACCTTGCCCCCTTTGGTCGGATACATTTCAGCAGCACCAGGTGGAGAACAGCACTCCTGCAGCTTCCCAACCCTCTGCCATTCTCTCCGCGCAACCCCCACTCCCACCTAAGAACCCTTGTTCTGCGTTTGAAATGGACTCAGTTCTAAATCCCACTGTTGAGTTTCAGTTTTCTCTGCAGCTGCTAGGAAGGGGAATGTGCTACCTAAAATCATCCCACTTGGGGCCTGGCCACTTCCATCAAGAAGCTTATCACTGCCATTCTTCAGGGTGATAGGACATGTACCTCAGAGGCAAGAATGAGTGCCCTGGAGCCACCTGCAGCCTGCATCTTAAGGGTGAACATCCCAGGTGACTTGCAAAAGCTTATTATCAGTCAGATAGGCAGCGAGGGACTGGATGTCAGCTCACAAGGCTGCATTTTACCAGCCTCTTCTCCATTGTCTACTTCAAACTGTTGTTGCAGAATATTTCACCAGCTCCTAAATAGCCTCTCCTGCCCTGTCTCCAACATCATAAATAAGTTGCAATTCTGACAAGCCACCTGAGTGGCTTACCGTGCCCTGAGGTTTCTGGTTTGCCCCAATATCCTCTTGGTTCCTAGCCCTTACTGTGAATTTGACCAGGCAATCACAGAAGGGAACAAGCCAGAAAAGGATCAGTTCTTGGCTTCAAAAAGGGGAATTAGTCGGATACCTGCCACAGCTATATTTGATTTGGTTTATCAGCAGCTAAATTATTCAAACAGAAGCATTAAGGGGGAGTTACTTCCAGCCCAGGAGAGGGGCTATGGAATACCCGGCCTTTAACATGTGTTTACTAAATTAGCATCATTGCAATGCAATGAGAGGATAAAAGTGTAAGCAAAATTGCTAGCTATTAGCTAAACACAGAAAACTAGGTTAGCATTCCAAATGCCTGGTCAGGACCTGCATTAATTTTCACCTTATGAAGATGTTTAGCTGGAGTTGCAACTGTATGTATTCTGAATTTACACATTCATGAACTTAACTATAAAAATCTGTGTTCTCCATGGCTAAGGTGATGGCCTCTTCCTTCTGTAAGCAGAGCTGCCCATTCAAACATGCCCATGTAGATCAGAATTATGACTACTAATATAATTATGACTCATGGTAGCCACAGTCTGAAGGTCTCAGACTTCTTTTTCCATTAGCAGCCTTAAGATGTGCAGGAATGCAATGTACTAAGGGTGAATAATTGTAGCTTTGGGGAGGGTTTGGTGAATCTTTCATTTCTGTTTCCATGATTTGCAGTTTTAATTTACTCACAACTGAGCTATACTGAAAGGATCATAACGCTGTGATTATAGAATCTACTAAATTACAATTTAAAAACAAAGGCCTTTTCCACCATCTTGGAATGAATCACCCCAACCAGTGAATGCATGGTGATCCTTACTGAGTTATGAGGCACCAATGACTGATACAGTGGTAGAATTAGCTTCATTACTGAGCAGTCCCAGACTGAAAAAGGCCAGCAAAAGTGTGCAGCATAAACATTTTGCAGAAAGAAAATATTGGCACTAATTTTGTCCCAGTGAAGGTATATTGACTGAATTTCATTTTGGTAGTATTTGCCTTTAAGATGCTGTAGGGCTTTGTAACTTAGTGTTTCATTAACCAAAGCTTCCAGAACCTTCTCTACTCCATTCCCCCACCCAAAACTGGAAGTGTACCCAAATAGTTTCCTCGCTGGACCTATTTAGATATGCATGGTATTAAAATATTATACAAAGTGTATATTTTGAAAAAAAATTTAATGTATGGACTTCAAATTATTTTGCACCCATTTTCTGCTAACTTTTTTGAGGCCCTTTCATATATTGCTTAATGTACAAATTCCTGGGCATAGTATCTTTGAAGGCTCTGCAACAACTGATTGTGATTTGGTTGGCAAATGGAGCTGGGAATTTTCTTGACCAGGATGAGCCAGTTGCTGTATAAACAGCAAGCATGCCTTGCATTTGAGAGATTCTATCAGTTTTGGCTACTTAATGACAACACAGCAAGGTTGAAGAAGGAATGCCATAGTCTAGGAGTCCTTCTGCCTTCCTACTAAGCTTGGACCTGCTTTTACTGAAAGTGTAAGGCACCCAGGATCTGTGGAGAGAAGAAGGAGAGAAAAAAAGAATGATTTTTCTCTGTTCTAGCAAAAGCTCCATTCCCTCTCATGAAAGCAGTTCAGAGCAGTGAGAATGAATGCTCAGCATTATGGGAAGAGAATTTTCTGGTCAAAAGACAGCTGTCTAATTTAATTCATGCAATGCATCCTAGTCTTGCCTTATTTAACTTTACTTGTCAGTTTGTGCATAATAAAAACAGACATAACAATTAGAATTATGTGGTGCCTTTGCATATGTTGCATATATTTGTTGGAATTTGTAGTATGATTTTATGGATAGAAAGCCAAAGTTCACAAGATTTGGCCTGGAGGAATCACACTCAGGTTCAGGTCAAAATGCAGTGTATCATTTGTGCTTTGATTCAAGATTTCCTTCAAACATTCTTGTTTAGTGTCAGTTTTTTTTTTTTTTAAGTTTCCACTTAAAAGAAAGTAAGTCTCAGAGAATTTGGGATCTGAAGTTTAATGACTTATGGTTTAGGGCTAGAAATGAGATAGCATATGACTTGCGTATAAAAACAGTTGCCCTCAAGATTTTATAATCAGCACTCCCTCTGAGCTAATACATTCTTTCCTATTCTGAAAGTCAAAATGGCTTCAAAGGAGAGAGAGTACTCATGTCATGAGTTTGTTGCATGGATTAAAAGACATAATGCGTTCAATGACTTAGCACAGTGTCTGGCACATAGTTATCGTTGCATTAATGGCATTGATCGTAGGCTGTAAATAGGATATTGTATAGGCCTGGTTCATGGCAGAGCTTTCACTTTCTTTCATGTAAACTTCTTTAAAGGCAAAAGAAAATAATTCCTGCCAAGCAATCTTCCTATAACACTGAGCATGAATACCACTTTTTAAAAATTTTTATTTTTAATTTTAAATGATGTTAACATAGTTGATCAGAGTGGGATGGATAAAGAGTTAGGGAAAAGTGGGTGTGATCACTGTTTCCAAATTTTCTGTTTCTCCTTCTTGTTTCAGGGGGATGAATACCACTTTCAAAGATGCCTTGGCTAAGAATTGTTTAAATGTTTTTTTTTTAAACTTTCCTTCTCATATAGATGAAACCAATGGCACTAGGTTTTTGTGCATAATTATGAATATAGCTTGCTGTCCCTGAAACCCTGATAGGGAAATGAAGATTGGAAAGTATAATAAATTACATGGAGAACATGCAGTGCTTCTTACACAGTAGACCAACATTGTTTTCCTCTTTTAACTTCCAGCTTCAGTTTTTTTCCAAAATGGCAAACTGTATGTACTTTCAATATGACTTGAAAGGGAATACTCTTATTAAACACAAAAGAACCCCACCCAAGCAAAGGTTGTTCACCTGATTGTCTCACCTGAAGCATAGTTTCCTTAAATATAATTTCTCATGTGATATCACATAGCCCAGTCACAGATAACCATCATCCTAGATGAACCTCTGCAGGCAGTGAATGAACTAAGTGTTTTTGTTTGTGTTTTCTTTTTGAGTAACATAAAAATTTTCAAGAGGCAAAGGAAATGTCAGCTTGGGCACGTGGTCCCTAGGCTGGGGAGAGGGATTGAGCAACATTCTAGAAATCAGAATCCAACATGTCATCTTACCTTGTTAAGTAAGCTGTATATATGTGGGCCTGAGGTTCAGGTCAGAGATACATGTGTAGGGTAACAAGCCGTTATGTAAATCCGAAGACCCACCCTGCTGTCCAGTTCTATACTAATTTCCTGTTTGACCTGGCCAATTCTCATAACCTCTCAGCATCTCGGTTGCCTCATTTGTAAAGTGGGAATTATTTGTTTT